AGTGGGGAGGGTTCTGCTCCGGTGGCCAGGGAGGGAAAGACGAGGACTGCTCTGCCGGGCTTGCTGCAGGGCACTCCCGTCCTCCGCGCCGCCACCCCCTACAGGGCGGCCGGAGCGGAACAAAAAAAAAAGAGGCCGTGCCACCCTAGGATTGGGCGGAATTCCGCCTCGTTTAATCTGCCGCCCCAAGCACCAGCTTGCTCGGCTGGTGCCTGAAGCCAGCCCTGGATTTCAGTAATCAATTATACATGTGATAGAACTGCAAGATGGGAGGGTGGAAAATCTACATATGGCTCACAGGCTAATCCTGAAGGATGGACTGTCTTGCAAGGAGCCAGTTTTCTTCTTGGTCTCTTCATGACTTGATTCAAAACCCATTGAAGTCAATGAAAGTCTTTCCCTTACAGCAAGTGTTTAGTGTATTTCATGCCCCAGGTGAGAGCTGGTTCTCAGATCCGTATGGATGGGAAATACAATCTTGTATGACTGTCTTTGCAAAGGGTACTGTTATGTATACTGGGATTTATGACAGAACAGGTTTAAAATCCAGTACAAAGAGAAATTAAATCATTGTTCAAAGAGGAGAAGCTATTTTTTAGCTTCAGGATGCTTAAAAACTAATTAATTGAACATGTTTTTGATTTGCTACCAAAAAACAACAGCATTTTAACTGAGCGTCACAAATTTATTACGAAAAATTCATTTATTTAAAGTCTGAATTGGCAAGTCCCTACCATGCTCGGAGGACAGAAGGGTACACTGAGAGCTATCATGCTCACCCCTGGGCTCACAGAACAGAAGCCCCTCTGTGGAAAACCAGCAGAGCTGCGATTCTGTGTGGATTGAGTGGGGCATGGAAGATGTGGGATGGCAGCATTGTTCCCAACACAGAAACACTAGCTGTGTTACAAAAATGGAACATAACTAAGTTAAATCACCCTGAGCAACCTTCTTGTTCTAGCACAGGGGTAGGCAACCTATGGCACGTGTGCCAAAGGCAGCACGCGAGCTGATTTTCAGTGGCACTCACGTTGCCCAGGTCCTGCCTGCTGGTCTGGGGGGTCTCTGCATTTTAATTTAATTTTAAATGAAGCTTCTTAAACATTTTAAAAACCTTATTTACTTTATATACAACAATAGTTTAGTTATATATTATAAATTTATAGAAAGACACCTTCTAAAAACATTAAAATGTATGACTGGCACGCGAAACCTTAAATTAGAGTGAATAAATGAAGACTCAGCACCCCACTTCTGAAAGCTTGCTGACCTCTGTTCTAGCAGCTCTGACTGCGGACACTGACTTCTGCAGCCAGCATCTTATTTCCCTGTTGAGCAAATACTGACAGACATCACAGTACATGGAGAGCTACAGATAGATGGTATGTATGCTTGCACCTTTGTCCCCTTGTCTTCTCTGCACTTGCTCTGGAATGAACGACTACGTTTTACCCGATCAAAAGGAAATGCATGATTTTCTGATGTTCTGCTTACAGAGCGCTGCTTAACCAAGAAGGTTTTATGATAGGAACCAATCCTACAACCCGTAGTCATGCAAGCCATATCTAAGGGTTCTCTGAGAGCACTCTGTCCCCTGGCTGTATCTTCAAGAGCTATGGTTTCTTGTGGCCACAAACCTACTTTCTCTGTGGGCCTGCAAACCTCTCCCTTCCAGAATATAGTGTCTATGGACTATCACAAGTAATTTTTACCCTCCTGTAGGCTTTTTTTTTTAATGAGAGGAGAGCTTATCACCTCCAAGTCACTCAATATATAACCAGTTGTATTTCTTCCTGTTTGATCTTTAAAGATTAAAATTTAGGACAGTTATATTACTGAGGTAATATAAAATTAATAAAAATAGAGAGAGACACAATCTTCTGATTATACACCAAAAAGGTCTTTAAGATGAAGGGGAAAAATTGATTTTAAATTGGAATTATTAAAAGCATATGTGGTGTCCTTTATTTTCTGTTTATCTGTGCAACGCACTGTAGAACAGTGTCTAAAATACTTTTAATAGCTGAGTCAATGCAGGTTTTGTGTTCCAGACCCTGCTCTAAATGAGAATTCCTGCTCATTGGGGGAAATTCAGCTACACAGACGGCTTTTGGATAACCAGTGTACCCAAAATTATATCATCAGAGCAGCACATTGCATTGCTTTAATCTGTAGACTGTGTGAAGAAAATGTTGGGTTTTTGAGATCATTCAAAGAGTCTAAATAAAACTGAAACCATCTGTTTGATTCATAAGAAGTAAATGAGTTCAGCAAACATTAAAAGTGCTTGGAATACATATGCATATGTGTTTATACACACACACACACATTGTTGTAAACTGATTTCCATAAATTACAAAGATATACATAGATGCAATAATATTTTGAAAAAGTACAATTATATAGGATAATATTTGCTTCCCAATCACCTTTACAACTTGTACAAGCACCAGTGACATGAACTTTGAGCAGATCTGGGACTCCTGAAGGTGGAAAGTGCTGGATCCAGGGCATTGTCCCTAATTTCTGGTTCCTTTTTACAGAAGGAATAATATCACATAGATTCATTGGGACTGGATTTTGGGAATCTGTGCAACAATTAATGGTCAAATTAGGCATTAGGCTGACAGATGACTGGGGAGAATGAGCACGACCTCCTTGAGGGACATTCTTTCATGGATACTTCTGCCCTGATAACTCATTGATTTTAAAGCCAAAAGGGACCATTCCATTATGGTAATCTAATCTGACTTTCTGCACAACACAGGCCACAGAATTTCAACAAGTGATTCCTGCATCAAGCTTATAACTTCTGGTTTAGCTGAAGCCTATGTTTTAAAAAGCCATCCAACCTTGATTGAATGACTTTGTGACTGAAAATCCACCACATTCCTAGGTAAATTGTTCCAATGGTTAATTATCTTCATTGCTATTTCAAGTCTGAATTTCTCTGGAGTCAACTTCCAGCCATTAGAGCTTGTTATGATTTTGTCTGCTAGATTAAAGAGGCCTGAACCATCAGAAATCCCCTCTTCATGTAGGTATTTAGAGACTGTGACCAACTCACCTCTTAAATTTCTCTTTGCAGATCCCCTCTTACACATTCCAAATCCCCCTCCTGAAAGAGACCAGTCATAGAGGAACGGCAAAACAATAATTCAGAATTTCCTGACCTGAGCATCCATTCCTAGATGTTTCTCTGCAGGAGGGGATGATTGTGCCCCTAAACCATAGTTGACACTTCAAGGAGAACTCTAGAGACAATTCTTTTCAGTGAATTTCTACTTAATCATAGTATCATATTTTCGGGTATGTATGTGTGTGTCTGTGTGTGAAGATCTTCTCCTTATTCCTTAACATCTTGTGCAGGATCAGGCCCCTGGTGTGACAAGACTGTGGGAACCTAACACCAGTATCAGTGCAAGGAAGGTACAATATCTGTGCAAGGAATGTTAGATCTCTACATGCTGCTCAGAACATCTGGGCCACCTTCTGGACAGTGTGGAAAACATACACTGCACCTTGCAAAAGGATGTAGTAATAGCAGATGTAGCCATTCTGGGCATTCACCAAGTCATTCCTGGGGGCATTGTATCTAAGCAAACACACTGTCTCAAGGACTTGCTACCATTATCCCTCCTTCCTATCTCTCCCCAGCACCAGCAGTGTCTTAATGACACACCTAGCCTTTATGCTTTATCTCTGGGATTCTGATTATCCTCCTACTCTGGAGACAACAACTAGATTTGATCCCAATCATATGGATACAAAACAGCCAAATTATTTTCTGATATTACATGTGCAGAGCACTGGTAAACCCAGAGGGTTTTATAATGTTGAGGGCCCCATCTTGCACAATTTATTCCTAGAAGTAGTCTTATTTCAGTCAGTCAATAGGACTGTCCTCGCTTGAGTAAAGGTTGGAGAACTGGGCCTTTAGCAAGCTATATCCAACATGATGCTAATTCTCCATTTTTAACTAAGGAAGGATTATCCCTCACCCCACCCCCAACTGTATGGACATTATTAATGTATTTATTACATAAACATGAAGATATTAAACTTAGCTATAACAGATTCTGCCCAGATGTCAGAGCAATTATTTTCTGTAATCAGCTGGCTGCTGTATTAAAGCCTGTCATTCCAGAGCCAATGCTGAAAAAGAGGCAGCGTTGCAAAGCAGTCAAACTACAGGACTTTGGGAGTCAGGAGAAAGCAGTTGTATGCTGAGCTCTGCCCTGATTCACTATGTGACCTTAGGCAAGCTGCTTTTCCTCTCCCTCTGGGGACAGTGATCCCTAACCCTTATTAAAGTACGTTCAGATCTGAGGAGAGAAAGTGCTCTGTCAGTGCTATTCATAGCACAGGCAGATTTTTAATCTCTCTCTCCCTCTGGCAGTGAAGGGTTTGCTGTGTGAGCATGACAGATCTAAACAGCCACATTTTTTAAAACTCGTCTCCATTCACGTTGACCCGGACACTTGGGACTGAGGTGTTTGGGAACAAGGCAACGAGATCTGGCTTGGGCAAAAGGGCGCACTTCATGATAAGTGTGGGAGCTGGTGGAGTTGTAACCAGACATAGTTTTATTCAGTGGTACAGACTAGAAGTGGTGTGTGTGTAATTTTTACCCTATAAAACTCCCCAATCTTTAAAACTCATGATGACACTTCCAAAAAAACTAGGGGCAGAGCCAGCCTCCAGCAGCCCTTTGCCCAGGTAATTCTCAACCCAGGAAGATGGATGCCGCATAAGGGCATCTTCCTAGGCTCAGGTTCGGCCTCTAATGTCAGGATTTGGCCTTTGCCTCTAGAGTCATGGCTTGGCCTCTAGGCTTTGCCTCTAGTGTCATGGCAACTGCCTTTTTAAGTGCTGGGTGAAAGGCCACTTCTGATTGGGGCAAGCTGATTAATGAACTAAGACCTCCTGTGATTGGCTGGGCGGGGAACAAAGCCATAGCCTTACCAGCTGAGCAGACCAAGGAGTCTGTTGCTGGGTAACACTATACACAGAGTCCAGCCTATTCCTTGTACCTCTGCTATGTGCTGGGGGGACTCCCAGCTGCTCTGACGCTCCTTCTCCTCCTATAGACACTCTCCAACCATATAAGAAAATTCAATGGATCAGGAATAAGCTCCTTAGCTGGGTTTGTTTAGCCTCTGCTACTAAGCGTTCACCAGCTCTGTGTGGTGCTTTTAGCTCTGACTGACCCTTTTGGATTTCAGCTCAAGGCCATTAGCCTCTTTAAACTCCATGCAAACCCTTTAGAAATTATGTGTACAAGCCACTAACCGCTGTGAGGCAGGAATTAGAGTGGGAGGATCACCTGCCCTTTTGCAAGACGACAGCCTCTGTGAAGCAAGAACTATATTGTGAGGGAAGGCGAGAGAGAAAGAGTCCTGCACAAGTTCTCTTATTGCTATGCACTCCAGAGCTTACTTGTTGTTGGAAAGAGAGTATATGGAGTATAAAGAAGCCAACATTTTTGTGAGTAGTATCTTTGTATATTTCCAATATCTAAGCTGCGTATAACTAATTAACATGCAACTGGCATCTTTTTTACATCCTGAGCCTGGCTTTCCCCCATTTTGTGTTAGCATCCCTTCCCACACCCCTTCTCAACACAAGAAGTAAAACCACAAAATTATGTACTGAGTACGTACCTACAGTCTTGACCAGAATTGCACTTGGACAGCCAGCCAGTCCCACCCCTTGCACCACTCCATCTACATTTCTATTTTTATCAAGCTAGCTTGATCAGAGCTAGTGCAGGTATGTCTACTTGAGCTGGAACCTACACCTTCCAGCTCCAGTGTAGACATATAATTCTTGGGTGGTGGTTGTTGGGTTTTGGGGGGAGGGGATTAACCCTACTATCTTTAATTTTCAAAGTTAATTCCACAGATCATCAGATGTAATTTAATGAACTAAAACTGTACATTGTTTCATAATAGTGGAGCTTTATTCTTTTGGGATTTCATTGGTAATTAGAGGAAATGTAATAAGAATCCAAATGGAGGACCTGATATTACAGTCCCCATATGCATGCAAAAATACCACTGACTTCTGGTTAGCTTCATATTGTTTTTCTAAGTGCCCTATTGGTACTTCTCCAGTGTGCACACAAAACCCTTAAGGGAACTTGGGAAAGGAATTTTGGTGCCAAAGTCCACCAAAATTCAAGTGGCAAGTGAACTACTTAACAAAAATTTAAAACAAAATATTCATGTGGACTGGCTGGCTCTGGGACTGATAACTAGTACATAGGCTCATTTGCCTTTAAGTAGATAGTTCAAATCCAGTGCTAGCTGATGATGCTTGGCTGTTAGCTTTTCATAAAAATATCACCTACTGTAGCAATATGCTGTATTTCCTACCCATCCACGCTTCCCAAAAAAGCCAGGTTGAAAAGGACTATGACCACATTACATATATATGCTTATTTTTATTGTTAGGTTTCATAAGAATCCTTCATGTTTCCACATAGTATTTTGATGCATCCAAAGGTCTCAAAGTGCTTTAGAAACATTAATTAACTAATTCTCACAACTCTTAATTTTAACTTAAAAAGTAAGCAAGTATTTTTTTAAGGCAACATGTCAAGTTCATCACGTTCCACACTTTATCTTCTTTTTGTACCTTTGTTTTAGGGCATCTTTGTCACTCCTACAAAGGATAACTTGCTGGAATGGCTAGCCGAAGTCCAGGGACTCAAGGATTCTCTTTGGGAAGGTAACATATAAAGATTTTACCATACCATGTGATTTTATAAGTGTTGTGTGTGTAATGTTATGTCTATCCGTCCATCCTTCTGGCTATTTTAAAAAATTGATAATGCAAACAGTTTTAAGAAAGCATACAGAACTTGACTGGTTTTTCATTATTAGCTGCACGTTAGTTTTCAGTACCCCTCCATAACTACATTAATACTTTGTAAATTATGTTTATTGTTAATCAATGTACAATTATGTGAATATTTTACAAAATAAGGGATGCAATTTTCATAGGAGGCATTGAATTTCAAATCCCAGCCAAGAGACTTGTGTCTCAGGAGATCACTAATAACCGCTTTATCTGTAAATGGTTGACTCTTAATCAGCACAGGTAGAGTAAGTAGTGACTGAAAGCTGTTACCCTCTGACAGCAGTTTGGTGGCCACAGTCCCACCCTATTAAACAGACTGTCCACATTAAAAACAAAAACCTATTGTTTTTGATCCTGACTTCCTTCAAGGCTATTGATAGCGGGTTCAGGCTTGCAAGATGCTGAGCTACTTCAGCTTCTACTGAACAAATGTTATTTTACGGGGTGCTCAGCACCTTACAAAATAGAGCCCAGAATAAAGAAGGAGTCTAACCTCCCCGATCATCCCTAGCTATGGTCCTTCCAAGACAACACTGAGGTACACTGATGTGGTAGTAGGGGGAAGCTTACCCTGTGTCAGGACTGGATTGAGGCAATCATGAGCCTTAGGCACACCGTGGCATGGGGCTCCCTGTTGCTTCATTCCCACAGTCTGGCCCCCATACCAGGAACCTTCCCCCTACCTGGAGAGATCAAAGAAGGGATACGAAGCCGCCTTTTCTCCCCAGGAGAAGCAGCAGGGGCCCTCACACTTATCAATGGTAGCAGCAAAACTCAGTGACTCCATCTTGAGATGCATCAAGCAGTTCCCACTTCTCAGGCTATCTGCAGCGGTTACAGTCAAGTCATGTTTTCAAGAGTTTCTTTGCAACCCTTTGAAGAGTAGAAATTTACTTTTTTAACAAATGAAAGCTGAATCCAGGATGTAATCCCATGAGTCCAGGAATTGGGACACTAGGCATAGGTTTATAGTGCTTCTGCCTTACTCCAGCCCTGCTGTGCCTTGGCACATCGAGTACCTGTCTGTGAATTGATTTCAGCTTCCAGACCTGTTTATCTGACATTCTTCAATGGCACTAAATTCAATTGATGATGATAATCCAGCAATCCAATAAGTGTATGTATAATTAGCATTTTTATCTAATGTGAAGCATCCTGCTTCACCTGTTGTTTTCCAGAATTTGTTAACATTAGCACAAGGAACACAACTTTCAAAAACAAAAAACCCATAACAACAAAGCCTTCATTGGACAAATGCAACACATTTGTTAAATACAAGATTGGTATTAACTAAAGTGCTATCTCTTTCTCATAATAGGGGCTGTTCTCCAGCTGTCAATAAAGTACACTGAAGAGTACAATAGTGTCCCTCCAACTCTTATATTTAACACCATTCCATTCCATCCCAATGGTAAGGACCATGTGAGAAATTGTCTAATCATGTAGTTAGATATTTCAGATACTTGTTTAGCTTGACTTTTATTTCCCTGCACTATCATTGCTCCAACAGAAACCTTGTTCAACCCCTCCCAAAAACTCTGTGCAATTTTCAGGCAGGGGATTCATAAACCATGTCTAAACCATGCATTTGAATGCTCAGGTTGTCCCACGGGTGCATAAATCTCCATTTTCATGCCCAATGCAGGATTCATGGATTAAATGCAGGATTTGGGTCTTATTAAGACTCACATATTTGAAAACTGGGCTTTCTCTGGGCCACCGCATGCCCTTAGGGACAATGCAAGCACATGTCCCTTCCTAGATAGAAGAGAGAGTGTCTGCTACTGAAGCAGGAGCTCCCGCTTCCCCTGTGTCCTGCATAACTTCCCATCCTGCACAAAGTGAAAGGCAATAAAGAAGTCTACATAGCCAAAGGCTGTGGTAATAAAAGCTGAGCAGACCGAGGATAATAGCTCACATTTGCCAAGCATTACAGTGCCCAGCCAGTACCTGGAACAACGTTGTTTAAATTCCCCTATACCGTTCTATTGTAGTACAGCACATCACTCTTACCAGAAGAGGTCCCCTCCACAGCCCTGACAGGCTGGCTCTTCACCTGGGTTTTGGGGGCATCTCTGGTGCTCTCTCTGCCTCAGGGTTTGATGTACCAAAGAGATCTTGGCTGCGTAGGGGAATAGCCTCCTGAATGGGTGTGTGGTCATTTTAATGCCTTCCGATGCCTTGGCCAAACTGTCCAGAACCCTATGCTAGGATTCACAGGTAGTGTCCTCATCAAAAATCCAGTACAGCTCCTCATAGTAAGGGGAGGTACTGAGAGCACTACCAGAGGTCCTGTTTGTGTCTTTAGTGGTGGTGTAACTCTGCCGGAGCTCCTTTGCTTTAGCACAACACTGGGCTTTGGCCTGTGAGTACCCCTTCTCCCACTCTTGCTCCGATGGCCACTTATAAATCAGTGTAACAGTAACTGCTGCTAAAATGGAACTGGACATGTCCCTGTTCCCAAAGGGCAAGGAGATCCAGGACTTCTAGACAGGCCCACTCAGAAGCACAATGTATGGCTGCCATAATGGGTATGTGACTCTGGGAGTGTGCCAGCATTTAAAAAGAGGTGACATCCAGTCAAACTGACCCTGAAGCGGTAGAGGACAGACACAGGTAAACAGATGTGAAGCAATGCAGTTTGGGATGGCAATGGGAGGACTGCCAGAAGTGACAGGTTTATCCAACATTGAGATGTGTCCACACAAACTTTATACTAGCATAACTCATTTTGAAATAGTTATCTTGCTTTCAAAACAGATTAAGGAAAATGGGATTAAATGCCAGATAAAGATTGCACAGGTAACCATACATCTGGCATTTCCTAATTTTTGAATGCTTGACTTTGCAATGCAAATGTTCTTTTAACATACTTTTTTATGTAATTTCTATAATAAACTTTGAAAGAGAATTTTTTGTGGCCAGCTTTAGTCCTGGAAACTCATACACTTTACAGACTAGGGGCCAAATATTAGCCTCAATGATACCTTTGCATCCCCTGTGAAAGGATACATCGGTGCTATTCAAAAGAGAGTTTAGCCCACAGTTTGATATTTGGTGATTCAGTGCACTTCAGAAATAGAAATCAAATTGCTATGATGATCAATGTAAATCTGTATTATTATTTAGTACTTGAATTGCAGCTATGCCAAAGGCTCCACTCAGGGTTTTGGCCCTGTTGTACAGACACCGTACAAAAACAAAGTAAGAGTATAATCTAATTGAACAATCCAAGGGAGTGTGGAATGGAGGACAAGTGTGACAATGATAGAAAAACCCGGTTACATTGATTTGCCCTATGCAACACCTAGGTAGTCTGAGTAATTTAAAGCTATAAATAAATAAAACAATAACTCTCACTAGTTCCTCTAGCATACAACAGCCATGTTGCATAATTCTTTTGAAGTTACACAACAATTTTTTTCAATACAGTGGATCAACATTCGGGGAGACCTTGTATAGATTTTCTAGACAATCCTAAAGAGTGGAATGGAAAGTTAACGATGAGTAGCATTTTACTCGCTATCCAGGTAAGAAAAGAGTATTGTAAATAACTTCGCTTAAATCTCTTTCATAAAAGAAAATACTAAAATGTACTTTACCTATATAGTAGGGATTTCAAACTTGCAGACTGATTGTGTGATGTAGGATTATTCATTTGGTTTAAAATTAAAAATGCAAATGGCTGGATGACTTCAGAACCACAGCAAATATATTCTGTAGAACATCTTTTTTTAATAAGATTAATTTATTTTTACTTCTGTATTTGTTCCCTGGTGTCTTATTTAGCAGCACATTACTTCTGAGTAAGACAGATAGATAAATGAATGAGTATGATTGAAGCTGTTGCCAGTGCTAAATATTTTTGACCAGTAGCTACTTTGATCTTTTGGATTTATGCTCTCTTATCTTGAGTAAGCCACTGCTCAAGACATGTGTACTCTGCCTGATTCTCTGTTCTTTTAAAAATACTTTTTAAATGCTGATAGCTCTACTTTTAAATTCCTGAATTATCTCATGGTCAAAGTCTTGATCATGAGTGTCGGCATAGGTCTTGAGATTAGTGAGTAACTCAAAGCAGCTACCTTCAGTTTTAACACACAGGCCTCAGTGTTTCAAATTTACTGCCTTTTCTTCCAAGAAAAAAATTCATGCAGCTTTTTCCTTGGAGCAAGTCCTACCCCTTTGTAATGTCTTTCCCATCACTATGAAGGATATCCTGCCCTCCACTCATGACTGAAAATGTCCCCCAGATGTATGCGTGATTTTTGTGGACATCCTAGTATTGGTTATGAGTAAAACAAATGGCAGTCATGTATCATTCATGGCTGTCTGCTTGGAATTATACAAAAACCTGAGAGAAAACAGGAAGAAGGGAGCATAGGTTACGACCACATAGCCCTTTTTTAAGAAAATCAAAATGAAGGGCCCAATCCTAACAAAGCTACAAAGTGGCCTCGTTTTTGCTTTGACTTTAACATACCAGTATGATTGGTTTTAATTCATTGTAAAACTATTAAATCAACAATTTTGATGGATTGTGAGTTCTGAGCAGAATAGATGTTTTAGAGACCAATTTGTACTCTCTCTCTCTCTCTCTCGTGTTTATACCTATTAGAGCATAAGCTTTCGTGGACTACAGCCCACTTCTTCAGATGCATATAGAATGGAACAT